CTGTGAAACAGATCTGGTTCAGCTTGCAGTTTAGCTATTAGTTTCTATGGAGGCTGTGAGCCATTGCCCTGTCAGGTCTCTGTTTCTGCTCCTCCATGCCATCACAGACACTACCAGTGTACGGTATGGGCTGGAATCATTCTAGTGATCTATATATTTAAGTCTATGGACTTTAAGCAAAAAAAAGGATGATTGTATTATACTTGAGGTTGCATTATACAGGAATAAATATGTTATGTAAATTGGCAGAGATTTAAAAAACTGCACAAGGGGCTCCACCTGAAATCTTGCCCAGGGCCCCAAACTGCCTAGGACCAGTCCTGGTCCCACCACGAGTGCAGCATCTTGTCTTCACTCTTGTCCTCTCTATCACTGAAGCGATGTTTTGCAGCTTGATGCTCTCTAACACTTCTGACCTTGTCCGCTCTGTCGTTCGATCTGTCCCTGACAGGTGAAGCCTCTTATATGGATTGAGAGTGTGATTGAAAAGTTCTCTCACAGTCGTGTGGAGATCAAAGTCAAGGTAATGACAAGTGACACACAAACACCAACGCACACACGTACTGTATAAAATCTACTGTGTCCTACTGCCTGCAGCTTCTCTGCTGTCCCTCCACTCAAACTTATTGCAGTATTCATGATGCGTACGTCTCAAYGGATTGCCAGTCACCATCTGTTTGATGCCTTGAAAGCCGACTCAAAATTACAATCAGGACTCATGTGAACGTAGCCCCGGTTGCTCTGCTTTTGTAATATAAAAGTCTTGAACGACATCTGAACTCTGTCCCGTCACCTTTCGCAGGCTCGGAGTCAGTTTAAGAGCCGGTCTACTGCCAACAACGTCTCCATTATGGTGCCGGTGCCCAGTGATGCTGACTCACCCAAGTTCAAGACCAGCACAGGCAGCGCCAAGTGGGTGCCGGAGAAGAGCGTGGTACAGTGGAACATCAAATCCTTCCCGGTTAGTGGCACAGCACTGAGTTTATTACCAGAAATAATTCCAAGCAGTAAATTATTTTCCCTAAAAATACCTGCAACCCAGCTGGTTAAAAAAGATAAATAAAAAATAAAAAAGCAGTAGCCTGTCAGGAAAAAGTAGTTGAACCTTATCTTCATCTTCCTCCTGTTTAACATTTAATTAATGTTTAATTTAATTAATAAATCCAACAACCACTGTTGTTGGATTTATTTATTGTCGTCAGAGATGTAAAGTAATTTTTTTAACTTATTTTTGAATGTACCAGATTTATTCAAGTATAATACATAAAATTAAATCCATAAAATCATCCATAAAGTTGGGGGGTAGTACTATACTCGGATAAATATTTTTACTTGTGTATATTAACTGAAATATCGGCTTCATTCACAAAATGCCTGAGTCCGGAAATGAGACTGCGTCGTAAAAAGCAGTTGAAGCAAGCTTACGTGTGACAGTCCTTCATGCTTCAGAGCGAGATAATAACAGATCCAAGCAGGCGACATGATGTGAAAAAAAGAAAAAAAGCAGTCCTGCAGCTTAGTAATGATAATGAACTAATGACATTAGCGTGTGACCCATCCGCATCTCGAACAACAACAAACACATGTTCGTCTGTAATGGCTGCCGTCTACCGGTGTTCTGAAAAAGTTTGTATCCCTGAAAAAAGTTTCCCCACCAGAGGGGGCGCTCGTGAGTAGGAAGTAATCTGCTTTTCCCCCACAAGATGGCCCAAATCTCGTGAAGTCTCTGAC